ATTTGCTTCAGGATAGTAGTTTTATTCCTTTTATGTTTGATAAGTAAAGGTAAATTGTTAATTATTTTATATAATTACACTTAAATGAGCCAGTAAGAAAAAATTTACTGGTTGTTCTATTGGTCTTTAAACTTGGACTAATGCTCGTGCTGGAAGAATTAATTATTAAATTTTTAGCTAGTCTATTATATGATTAAAATAAAAACAGCAGTAGATTTTTATCTTTTATTCGATTATTTTAAATATGAATGCTGCGAATATATATATAACTATAAATTTTAATAAAAAAAAAATTCATCTGTTTTTGTACTCTCATAACAAATTATTTGCAAACGTTTGATTATGGAAGACTTAACTGAATATATTTTTGATACGTCAGAATTACTTGAAAACTCTTCTGATATATCGCAATTACTTGAAAATTCTTCTGATACATCGCAATTACTTGAAAATTTTTCTAATATATCGCAATCTGGTGAAACTATTAAAAAACGTAAAGTTGGAGAAACAAGCCTTCAAAGAATTGTAGTAAATAAGGGTGGATGTCCAAAGGCTGCAGTTTGGGATGACTTTATTATAGGAAAATCTGATAGCAAAGGTCACTACGGTGCAAAATATCATTATTATAGTAAAGGAAACTGGAAGCGTGAAAGACCCGCAAAGATGGAAGCCCATTTGGCTTTGCATTGTAAAGGTGAAGTTCCTGATAATATAAGGCGACATTAGCTAGTTGAAGTGGCAAGACGAAATAATAAAGTAATGAATAATAATAGTGATAATGACAGTATAGTATCATCGTCATCATTAGCAAAATCTAAAGCCTCATGTTCATGTCCTAAACCTATATCAAATGAAAAAGCTAATGAAATCAATAAGACGTTATTCAAAGCTTTTATTTGTGCCGGAATTCCATTTTCTGTAATCGACAATCTATTTGTTCAAGACTTGTTGAATTTACTTGAACCGGGATATAATTCTTCTGAGAGGGTTACTTTAGCTAAACGAATACTGGATGAGGAGGCTGCTTGTATAACTGTATGAATTGATAATTTACTTGACAAAGCACAAAGTTTAACTTTAGGTAAAAGTTCTATATATTAAAAAAATTGTGTTATAGTTTATAATCTGCTCTATAAAATAGAAAAAAAAATTTAATTATTATAAATTATATCAACAATATTTTCTAACTTTCCTGTGGATATTTTGATGAACGTGATGATTATTATTGAATATGCTAATATACGTCGATTTTTAATTAAGAATCATTTTGTATTTAGAGCAAGACTTTTTGCTGAGTAACTTTTTAGATTTTTTTGTTAACAAACATCAAAGGGTGCATTGAAAATTACTTATTACTAATGCTCGATTATAGCAGTTTTCAGTTCAAAAAATCTCACATCTCTCGATTTTTGAATTGGTCTCAATATTCTTGCACGTTTGCTGCTATTTTAAACTTTACTTACTAAGTAAAGTTGTTCGAAATGTCATCTTTTACTTACCCTTAAGCAACACAAATAATTTTTTATTAATAGTTATACGTTTTGGTGCAGAAAATTGATTTTCTGCGCAAAAACGTTTAATGATAAATTTATTAATAATAGTTATTCGTATTGCGCCAAAATTTTAAAATAGTTTTCTTGTAATATGTTCAATTTATCATAATATCCATGTTCGCCAAAATATCTGCATTTAACTTATATATTACTGTATTGCTACTTATTATTATTTTATTTTTAAAAAATAGCTCTTAACAGATAGTCAAGCCCAAATAATGATTTATTATATAATTTCATTGTATCAACCTCTGATCGAAAAGAATATTTATATTCTATCTTAGACTTTTCTGATGCTACACAAACTGGTGAATTTCTCACTTCCAAAATTTCTAATATCATTGATGAAATTGGCTCTAATAAATTCATTGCATGTGTGACTGATAATGGAAGTAATATTCGTGTTGTTTGCGAAATTACTACGCACAATTACTCCCATATTTGAAATATCAAATGCGTAGCCCATGCACTAAATCTTATTGCGAGCAATATAGTTAAAATTTGATCTGTCAATCAAGTTTTAAAACAGGCAAATCAAGTTATTCAATTTTTTACAAAGTCATACAGAGCATGCAGACTTCTTCATGACAATATACGAAGCATGAAAATAGGTAGCGGTGGTTTAAAAACATATGTCGAAACAAGATGGGCTTCTATCTTTGAAACTACATCTTCAATTGTAAGGTTAAAGCCCATTTTTGATAAGATATATTAATATATATTATATATTCAATTAATTTGTTTTAAATGCAGTTTGTATAAACTTAAAAATTGATTGTACCTATATATTTTCTTTAGATTTTAGAGGATGATCACGATGTAATTAGTAACAGAATGATTATTTCAATTTTAAATAATGATGATGATATATTTTATACAAACTGTCAGCGTATTACATTGATAATCCAACCAATTAAAGAAGCAATACATAGTTTAGAAACACATACAGCAAGCTTTGCTAATTGTTTTGTTAGCATAGTAAAGTTAGCTACGGCTATTAATAGAATTTCTATAAATAATCCTTTTCGCAGGTCAGCTATTAGTATTTTTAACAAACGTTATGCTAAATTTAATATTAAACCATATCTACTTGCTTATCTCCTTCACCTGGGTTATAAAGGTATAATATCAAGCTTGAAACTACCAATTTTCTTCTAAGTTTTAAAATCATGTACCTATATAAAATAGCATTTTCTAATTTAAATTAAATTAATTGATTTTGAAATATTTACATATGTACATACATACGTATATACGTACGTATGTACGTATATATAAATATACTAATTATTAGCTCATGCTGATATAACTACTTTATATAAGAGTATATGGCTTTAATAAGTTCTTGTCTAGTAATTAGAACGCTTTTGAATAGAAAACCTGGGTGAAATTATTTAATAGATTACAAACACTTAAAAATTTTTTAAAGTTTCTAAAATTATATTTATTATTTCTTTGTAGGTCTTGGTTTATACAAAGGTGTGTTTCGGCAAATCTGCGAGATAGCCATTAAATATTATAGAAGTATTTACAACGATGAGGATACATGCAGAAAGATGACTACTCAACTGATTTGTTATAAAAATAACAAATATCTGTTTGACTTTAATTATGATTTTTCATCATCATCGAGTTTATGGTGGAGTGTTATTGAGGATAATTATAAATATCTTCAAGACTTTGCCAAAATTGTTTTTGCTATTGTACCTTCGCAAGCAAGTTGCAAACATAATTTTTCTATTCTAAAATGGCTATATGGCATATACAGATTACGATTATCACCTGAATGGGTTGCAAGTATGGCTAAAATTCATTCGTTTTATATTTCCAACCTTAAAAATAAACTTCAGTTTTATGGAAAAGAGTTATCAGAATGCGAATTATGCAATAGCGCACTAGAACTAACTACCTATGTGGCTATCGAAACAATAATACGGTTTTAGAGCAAGATGAAGTTTTGGTATCTTCTCAATTATCAAATAGTGAGAAACTAAAGATTAGATCGATGGTTGATCTGTCAAACACAAATTTCGGTGGACCAGGTGACTTAGAAATTTGTTATACTGTAGCACAAGAAAGTGGTAATATGGATTTTGACCCTATCGAAATTGTGGAAAGTGAATTACAGTTAGCTAATATGTTATAAGCGGCATTAAAACATTTCTAATAGATATATTTCTACAAAAGGTATGTTATTTTTAACTAGAATATGTATAACCTGGCTTTAATTATTTATAAGATTTCTTTAACAGTTTATCCCTCAGCAAGCTATTAATTTAGATTTAAAAGAAATATAGTGAATATAAAATGTGCAAATTGTAACTTATATAACATCTCGTCAGTTTGACACCAAACATGCGACCCTCAGAAGAGAGTACAGGCATGGACAAGTAAAAATAAAGACATTGTTAATCATATTGAAAACTTAACACCCATCCAATTATTTTGAATTTTTTTTATAGATTCATCGCTATATATGATTATATTATGTATAGCTCGTGAATTGTATATTGAACTTAAATAGGCACCTAAATCATATAAATTTATAATTAAATCTGTAGATTTTCTCTGAACGAAATAAAACATTAAAGATCATGTCTCTATTATACATTCTTAATGATGTTTTTGTAAATTTGAAATAATAACTGCACAAAAATGACGGCATTATTACTGCATATCTTGCATATCTCGTGTAATTGATCAATCTTAGTTTAGAACTTGGCCAAAAGTTTTAACTAGTACGATGTAATTGCTGAATCCAGTAAAAACCTTTGGGAATCTACTAAATCCCAAACTACCGGGTTTGGTTTACATTGTTAGTTACATTCATCTATGCTAAACTTAATCAATTTACTCTTAATAAATTTTAATATTCATTTTGATCTTATAATAAATTTGTTGCTCGAAGTGTCTTATTCAATAAATTAGTATCATAGTTTTTTGTAACTAGTTTCCCATCTTCAGCACCATTCGGCTATTCAATATCAGCATGGTTCATAAAGTGAGAATAACATGCGGAACCAACTTCTCCAAACCATTCAAAATCGATCAATTTTACATCAAAATCATTATTCGTAAGTCGACAAACTAGGATGTTTCCTTCACGCAAGTCTCTATGTATAGTCCTGCATCATACAAATATCCAACAATTTCTTTGATTTTCTCTCTTAAATGATTTCGTTCATTAATAGAGGCAAAGTAATTTAATGTCAAATAATTTTCCAAGTACTCCATATAAATCATAAGCCAATTAAACTAGCGAGAAGTTTTAGAGCATATCTAGCTTCTGCTAATAGCTGATGTGTATTAAGTGAATATTTATCCTTTTGAACAACCTTTATACAAGCTCTTTTAGGTTTAGGTGGCCCTTGTTCGTTATAGAGTGTTACTATCCAAAGAAGGTAATCATCAATTTTGCAATCAATTTCAATGTTATAACATTCATCATTAATAATAATATTGAGAAATGATGGGAATGATAGATCCTTAGAGTGGTTTTGAACTAGGTTTCCAACTTGATTATAATCTTGATAAAGAATTTTGAGAGATTTCTTCAAAGCACGAAATGTTCTAGAAATTGATAGCATCATTTCATCATGTTTCTGCCAAATAAGGGGAAAAACTGGGTAAGCAGGTCTATAATTGCAATATCTGCAAGCACGGTACCGGAAACAGAAAAATAAGTTTCTAAAATGCAATCAAAGTCAATCGAAATCAATCAAAAAAAAATATCAAGCTGAAATTACAATACCTGCAATTGTAACTAAAAAGCATGAAAAATTAGTTATATAAGATAAAGGGCTATTTGAACTACTATTTGCTTGTTCATTGCAGAAAACTAAATAATAACTACAATTTTCTAAATAAGGAGAAGTATTGGAGCAACAGTCATTACTTTTATACTCCAAGTTAGCTACATGGTGCTTAGAAAAGGACACAGTGCCGTCGGTACATGCATCCTTTAAATTATCATCAGAATCTTTGCATTTAATCGTAAGTAACTTCACCGGATAACTGAGATATTTTTCTAGCATTTCATTTGCCTTATTTTGGCGTTTTTCTTCTTTATCATAATATTTGGCCATTGCATAACAAATATCATAGGTAAATTGATTGTCTTCCCTTTCTGGATTTTCCATACAAAATTCCTTAAATTTACCAAAAATAGAACTATATAAGCTAACAGGTATAGTGCTGGAAGCCTCTAGTGGACGATGATTAAGACAGATATATTTATCGATAGGATTAAATTTCTGATGCTTAAACCATTCTTTAGGAATTCCAAGAGTCGATGGTGCTGGCAAACCACTTATCATTTCTGTATATGATCTTTTAACACCTATGGAGCAAGATGGCGTAAATTCAGTTGTTTGCTATCTGCTGATAGTTGAAATATCGTACCTTTTTTTACACTAAAGATTTTAACTGGATTATTAGCTGAGCACTTGTGTTTTTTAATAAAATCAACAAAATCCTTTTTCGACCAGCTAAAATCTATGTTATTATTGCTAATAACAAACTTATAATCTATCAGTGAACCCTTATGACCGAAAGCTTTTTCCAAATGGGCATGTAACCGAGTAAAATCTTTCCAACCATTGGCACTAAGTTTTATTATGGTTTTTGATTCGAAGTACTAGAAGTATATAGGAACTAAAATAAAATTAATACATTAGTTAACATAAAGATATATCAAAATCGTAATAGTTTTGTAGATATACATGATACCCAACTTCCTCTTTAGCCTGATTCGATACAGTCATAGCTATATAACACGCGTATAAGGCTCAGTTAATAAATGAAATTATTGCGGAGAAAGCAGTATAGGTTTGGAATATTCGAATGCAGTCGTGGTACTACTTACC